AAGAGATGTCACTAATGACAAATCATTTCTCATGTTGAAACAACAGCTTGTACGAATCACCATTTGTATCAACACCAAATATAAATATTTCAATTCATGTCATCCCTCACTTCATTTGTACTTAGGTGTTGCTCATTCTTAATTTAAATTAAATTATCACATCATTTGTGATGAATTTGCGGTGAATTTTATCGATGAAATATCATTTGTCAGAATGTCAACAGATTTGCGATAAAATTTTTTGTCGAAATATTTAGATGAACTTTGCAGCGGAACTTACTGCCACAAATTCACCGCAAATCCAATGCTACTCCACTGCAAATTTGTATCAGATTAATCTATCTAATGGATTGGTTGTGCATCTGTTTCATTTACTCATTATGTTCTTCGATTTCACTCATCCCTTCATTTTTCAGCTCTAGCTTTGCTCTTCAACTTCATCTCTGCCGTCGCATGGTTGCTAGGGTTGTATCTCCTATTCTCCGGCTATTCGTTGTTACTTTACTTGCATGAGAGGTTGTTTTGAACAAGTCACTAAATAAGTTATTTGTCTCCTTCAATAATGTTCTTCCTATTGCAATCAAAGTTACACGTCCTCGCCGTTCTTATGTTGGATCGGAAGGAACAAGGATAATGGGAGCTTGGTCATTACGATGGTATCAATCTTTCCTCCTTTTCTGAGCTTCTTCGTCCAAATCTCATAAATCCGATGAACTACCATATTTAGTAAATATGGGATTTACGCAAAAAGAGGGAAACAAAGGATTTAACTTATTACGAAAAAACTAGTGACATACATGAATTGTATGCTTCGTTGATATACATAAATTGTGAGCTTCTTTATTCTCCACACCCTAATATGATACACAAGCCAATCAACATAACTTTGCATTCTAAAGAATTTAGGATAATTTCATAGAATCTGAACATCTAGAGCACCATTTGGTCAAAATGGAAAACCTAATACAATAGTTTTGAGATTGCACTAATTGTATTGATCTCCTAATTAGTGTAATAATATTTTGGTGAATGAATAGTAAAATATCTTGATATATATGATTTTAATTGCTTTCATCAGTTATTATTTATATTGATGATTTATAGAAGCTATGCTATATTCTTAAAACTATAAATAGACAATTCTTCCAAATTTAATTCTTGGGCATTACACTATAATTCTTTTGAAAAAATCAAACCATATTGTTGTGTATTAACTATCTCTCTATGGACACTTGAATTTTATATTCTCCCTAAAGAAAAGTCAAGAGTTTGTTTAAACCGTCTCTTCTTTAGCTTGTGAAGAAAGTAGTATCCTTGTCTCACCTACTACGAAGTAGATATTTCAACTAGGGGTGCAACCGAGTCAAATCGGCTCGCGAGCTGACTCGAGCTCGACTCGGTAACAGGCTCGACGAGCTAAGCTTATCTATCTCGCAATGCGCCTCGAACACGGTTTCGAGCTCGACTGCTTATTGAGCTCGAACAAATCATTGCTCAACTCGAGAGCTCGTCGAGCGGCTCGCATATAAAATATGCAGCTGGAAATGCAATCGTGGGCGGTAAAATGAATTCGCATACGGTAAAAGCAAGCAACGACGATAGTTGGACGGAAGCTTGATGATGGAATCTCGACAGCGCAAGCTAGCGGATGCGGATAGAAGCTCGCCGCCGGACATGGACGGAATCCAGCGAGCGCGGACGGAAACTCAACGGACGCTCAACGACACAAACGAGAGCTCTGCAACAGAAGCTTGACGGACGGAAGTTCGAGTTGGCGACGAACGCTGGCCTTGGCAATGGATGGCAGACACTGGTACTGACGACGAATGGCGGAAGTTGGAGCTGGTGACGGGCGACGGACGGTGCACACTGGCACTGATGGACATATTGAGCTCGAAATGCCGCTGGAGCAGCTTGACGAGCTTTTTTTTCCTCTGTCAAGCGAGCTTGAGCTCGAGCCCTGTATTTGACAGGCGAGCTCGACTCGAACACCCTCTGACTCGACCTCGACCAGAGTCATTTGCACCCCTAATTTTAACTGGGTTAGGCCCCGTGGTTTTTCTGCTTTCCAAGTTTTTCACATAAATTTATTTTTGTTTTACTTTTTTTTATCTATACATGCTGAATTTTTGTATAACACTAAGATGTAATTATAAACTTTACCTACTTAAATTTTCTAGCAGTAACAATGTTGAAATCATAATAACTTACATGCAAAATATTAAACTCTCCTAGATTTTTGAAGGTCAAGAGGAAAAGATGTGGGATGTGAACAAATGAAGACTTTTGGGAGGCGATGAGGCATAATATGCACAATATGCCTTATTCGCCGTGACATTCCTGCTCTTGCAACTTAATATTCACAATATTTAATTTGATTTTTTTGGGAAAACCCGGGGCAAAAGCCCATTGTATTAAAAATCAAAGATCAAAAATACAAGAAACCTGTAAAATAAGAGAAAAAACCTATAAAAGGAAAAGCTAAGAACATTAGAACATTCCCAACAAATAGTTACAAAAGGAGACATAACAATCAAAAAGACTCAGGCAAAATAAGCCAGATCCAATCAACATAAAAACGTTTTGAAAAACTGTCCGGCGCAGTTGGAAGCTCCGGTTGCCAATAGGGACCAAAAACAAAGGCCATCACAGAACTTCCAGCCATCATGAGAATAGCCAAAATAATATGCCAGGTTGCCAGATAGGGCCTTCCATGGCATCAAATAAGGATCTGGCTTGGTCATCATCGTCGGATTGTAGCAATGCCTCTAGTAGAAGTAACCATTAAGTCGGGAATGAACCAATCCGTATACCCAAGAAGTGAGCATCTTGTTCTTCAAAAAGGAACATGACTGGACAGAAGATGAAAACCCGCCGCGGCCATCAAAATGTTCTTCCCAGGTCTGAAGAAGATAGTAAAGTAATACGAGTATCCCCAAAAAACCAAAAGGTCTACCAGAAACTAATAACATAAGCATAGAACCAGTACGAGGAACTTCCCAGAACAAAATGTAGCTGAACAAAACACCCAGAAAAATTAAATTCCAGAAAACCTCCACAGCAGCAATTCTTTGTTTTTCCATCTTGAAATTTTCAATCTAATGGCTGAAGTGATGTTGCAAATCAATCTAACCGAGTTAGTGCAAGAATCAGAGAAACGCCTAAAGTTTCTCTCACGCCAAATGTGGTATAAAATGCAACCAACAGTTAAACAGCAGAAATCCTTCTCAAGTTTGCTATGAGAATTGGAATTAATAAAAAATTCCAGAACTTGAGCTAATGTAGGTCTCAGTAGAAAACAGTTCACATCCGGAAGAATATACTTGAGAATATTAAAAGAGAAGTCACAACCAAAGAAAAGATGATTGTGATTCTCAGCAAAACCATTGCATAAGGAGCATAAAGGAGCTACCTGTATTCCCCTAATCAGCATGTTATCAGCAGTTTTAAGTTTCCCTAACATAGCCATCCAAACAAAACAAGCATATTTAAGTGCATGTTTTTTATGCCATATAGCTTCAAACCAGTCCACCTTCGACAAATGTGAATGAAAATGCTCAATAAAAGCCTTAAAAACCCAATTAGGGGATCCCAACCAAAGAATCCCAGAGGAATCTTTTAAGTTTATTTTTAAAATTGCTTCAGACAGGGAATTTGGAAAATAGCTTGGGAGATCCCAATTATCTCCAGCAAATAAACAATATTTATTTTGGTACTAAGAGTTGCAATTATCATGCCTAAAAGTTGCACTTACAGGCTTACTGTCCCCTTCATAATTTTTTTATTGCATAGAAATGGAGGTCATTCCTAATTTGTCCCCCTACATCTAGCAATCATTTTTGCTTGGCCCGATTGAGCTCTCTCAAGAGAACAATCATCTTGCATACTCTGATTTAGGTTAAGTTTATAAAATTTTTATAGTTTTGGCCTTTTTGGCTTTCCTCTTATTGATGACTTTTCATATTTTAATTCATTTTTTATTTAATATATTGAGCAATGGTGTGAAATTCAGAATTTTATTTGGTCTATACCGAGGTGTACCGAGTTTTTTGAAATTTTATTTGGTCCGGTTGACCGAATGCAAGAAACATCCGGTTGTAGGCAAAAACGCGCCTATACCGAGGTGTACCGAGTTTTTTTCAAAAAACTCGGTACACCTCGGTATAGGCGCGTTTTTGCCTACAACCGGATGTTCCTCTGCATCCGGTCGGAGGACGTAATAATTGTTCGTGAAATTCTATCATTTTTATTTAATAAGAGAATAAGTAGATGGTCTATGTACACTAATTATTTTTGTTGTAAATAAAAGAAAAAAAAATTATGCACACAATTATGCTATTTTATTCTGGATGATAGCAGGGGCTAAACCACCTAGCCCTAAATAATTTATTACATGGATATTTAGGTAATTCGTTCTCCTCTATCCTTTTTTTACTCTTTATTATAGGAGTTTTTAGGCAATTGCCCCCCTTAAAAAAATTAAAATTCTATTATCTTAGGTGGTTGCCCCCTAGCAGAATTAAACACATTGTGTAAATGTGTTATTTATAAATTTACCCCCCTTAAGAATCAAGGCCGGTTTCACTCCTCCATGATAGTATGACTTCTTCAAAAGATCTTTTATAATTTTAAGTATAATAAAATAATTTCCTTCATAAAACTAATAAATAATAAATAATTGAGAAATTTACATACATATCACTCTATATCATAATATTTAGATATTTAACATCCAAAATTTTAATATTTTATGTCTATCATCTATAAACAACTTTCATATTAAATATATCACTCATATATTTCATTTTTATCATCCATATTATCTCATATAACATTTATACTTTATTTTTTTACTCATATTTGATCTATAATTGATAGGTATAAAATATTAAAATTTTAAAGATTAGATATATAAATAATAGGATATAAAATATTTTGTATGTAAACCCCCATAAAACTAATAAAACACTAGACCTCCTTAACTTGCGAGGCATTCCCAAGTAAGAAGGGAAGTCAAAGCCAAACCAACAATGGGCAGTATCGCCGAAGCCTCTGCCGACCAACCGACCGCTGGCCTCTGCGCGGTGGTGACCGGTGCCAACAAAGGCATTGGCCTTGCCATCGTCTGCCATCTTGCCGAGCGCGGTGTCACCGTCGTCCTCACAGCTCGCGACGAATCCCGCGGCACCGCCGCCATCCGCTATCTCCACTCCGTCGGCTTCACCAACGTCCTATTCCATCAGCTTGACGTCCGCGACCCCCTCAGCGCAGCCTCCCTAGCCCGATTCCTCGCCGGTCGCTTCGGCAAGCTCGACATCCTAGTCTGTACCAAACTCTCCTCACGCTTCAAACCTAGCAGACTCCGTAGCTGATCTTCTCCTTTTTTTTAGGTTAACAACGCAGGGGCTTCGGGTGTCATCGTCAACGTCGAGGGCCTTAAAGCCCTTAACATCGATCCCGCCTCTTGGGTAGGTTTTATCATTCCGTGTAGCTGAAGTTCGTCTGATCAATCGGAGGCCTACTTAATCCGGCTTTTGATTCGAATTACTCATTTATTAGATCCCTCACTTTGATCCAGATATCATCAATGTTCTGTTTCTCAATAGATCCAAGTCGTATCAAACAATCCTTAAAAATCCCAAATTTCCAGTTTAATTACTAATGCTCTTTGTGATTACTGGGGCAAGCTGTCGGGCAAGGCGACAAATCAAGTGCAAGGAGTGATCGAGCACACGTACGAGAATGCAGTTGTATGTGTCGACACCAACTACTTCGGCAGCAAGAGAGTGACGGAGGCCTTACTCCCCCTCCTCCGCCTCTCAACCTCCGGAGCCAGAATCGTCAATGTCTCCTCTTTGAGATCAGAGCTCAGGGTAAACTGAAATCCACAAAAGATTCATTTTCTTCTTCTGAAAGCATAAAAAAGCTAGCTTTGCTCTGTTTTTCTTCTCCTGTTAGCAGAGGATTCCGGACGAGGGGATCCGAGCGGAACTGTCGGATGTGGAGAACCTGGAAGAGGAGGGAATCGAGAAGGTTTTGGGGAGATTTCTGGAGGATTTGAAGGAGGGAAGGTTAGAAGCGGGTGGGTGGCCGATGATGCTGCCGGCGTACAGCATGTCGAAGGTGGCTTTGAACGCTTACACGCGAGTGATGGCGAAGAGGTGCCCGGAGATGCGGATAAACTGCGTGCATCCGGGATTTGTGAAGACAGATATCAACTGGAACACTGGAGTGGAAACAACAGAGGAGGGTGCTAGAGGGCCGGTAATGCTTGCTTTGTTGCCGGTCAGCGGGCCTTCCGGCCACTACTTTGATAAGACCACCATGGCCGAGTTCTGAGATTGTTTTGGCGTTCAGTCATGTTATTTATTTTTATTTTTTTGGAATTTCAACTTGTTTAAGTTTTTTAGTAGAGTGATGATGAAAACGTGTGAATGTTTTTTATTAAATGATGGTAGTGGCTTTATAACGAGTGGCAGTCTCGGAAAAATTATTCTGAGAACACGGGGTGGTTCGGTGACCAATCAAAATATATCATATCATTCGGCACTAAACGATAAGCAAAAAAATGACGTAGCGCGTTTTGATTGGTCTCCAGATGTCAAAAATGATATGTAAGTTTCAAATTCATCCGAATAAAATTATAACTTTAATGCAGCGTTCCTCTCGACTCATTGCTAGGACTTTCATGTCTCTAGTGTTCCCTTGTGTTGGCTCCTTGTTGCTTTCCATTCTTCCACTAGTATTGCAACATGAAATGTGAGTGACCTTCTGACATGATTGTAAATGGATAATCCAAGACTCTAATAGTGATATCTTTAATCTCCTTGAGATGAAGGCAATCAAAATCTTTTATATGGATCGTTTTACCACATAAATATTGTTATCTTCTCAGATGAATTTGCAACAACTTTCATTATTACTCAGGCAGACATATTTTGGTTAAATGAGATTATTCTTGCATCTCGTTTGAACCTTCAATGGCCTCCTCTCAACTTACTCATGGTGAAGTAGTTTATCTTGGCACTCTCAAGTTTTATGTAACTTTTGCTTATGCGAAAAAAAAAAAAAAATCTCTCTTGATAGAAGAAACTTGTGGTATTATCTTAGACGCATTTCCTCCACTATCAACTCTCACTTTCTTATTTTTGAAATTTTCAATTGTATCTTATGTACTGATGAGAGAATGCGAGAAAATCCCATTCCATTTAATAGAATTTCTAACTTCAAAGAGTGTATAATTGACACTAGCAAGAATAAACTCTTTAGCAAGGTTTTATCTCTCCCTTGTTCCAACAACCAAGATGACAATCTCATTCACACAAAAATAGATAAAGTTCTTCTAATATAGACTGTCTGGAACTTTTTCCATCTTCTTTCGATAAAGCTCTGTATTCTCTATCCTTTGAACACTCTCTCCTTACACCTACCAAGGTCAAATGGGCAAGTACTCCGTGGGCCGTTCTCCAAAATTATTGGACCTCCATTTATAAGTTTGATTCTATTATGAAGAAGGCTTCAAAACAAAATTTAGAGGAGACCCCAACCTTATCTTATTTAAAAACTTTAGGTCGGGAAAGCTCTCCTCAATGAGTCCATTTGGAATTATACCTTTAAACTTCATGCCTCCTCCTCTTATCTCAAGAAAGAATAAGAGAATGCCCAATCTATCCAATAACAATGACCCACATAACCATAAGAACATCCTTAACACTCATTCTATCCAATAACAATGCAAGAAAATGGCTACCATTGAAAGTATATGGGTTAAACAAGAGCTAAAACTGCTTGGCTTACGCAAGGTTTTAATGATCTCAAATTCCTTTATTGTTCTTTCAATATGAAGAAAAGAAGTTAGCAAGAAATTAATCTGATTGGAAGAAAACATTTTCATTTATTTTTCAATTTTTGCCTTTAAAAATATACTTTTAAAAATCAATTTTTAAGCTATGGGTAAGAGAGGAGCTTTAAAAATCAAAAACAAAAAAGCTTAAGATATTCTAAAGAAAGTCATAGGGTTTGTTTGGGAGGATTGCAACATTTTGTAAAGATGATTGTGAACTTGTTATGGGGAATGTTATTTTTTGAAAGCTGCTATAGATATTATAAATATATTCTTTTTTTATAATTGAACAACTATTTTATTAAAGCAATCATATATTAGCAACTCTGATAGTAAAATATAACTTCTCACCACAAAAATTTCTAATAAGTTGTGAAAAAGCAGTAAGAAAGAAGTAGCTAAATGAAGCTACAGTTACAATCTGAAAAGCGAATAAGTGAAAAAGCTATCCTAATCATATCCTTAATTGAGTTTTTTAATGAGCTTATCCACGTGTTTTATCAAACATTAATCAAGCTTCTTAATAAGCTTTATTCCGAGCTTGTTCATGAGCTTTAATCAATGATATTTATGATCTTAAATTAGTTAAACAACAAGAAGTTCAAATTTTGCTTATGCAACAACTAAGCATATAAAATAGTGTTCAAGATTGTTGAAAGCTCAATTCATTTGCAGCCCTGAGAGAGAGAGAGACATAAAGAGGTCTGAGGCTGCCTTCCTAGCTGGTTGTAATTATCATTTCAAGATAAAACATAAATAAAAATAATTTACGAATTATTTACAATACACAAAAATGAAGGAACTAAAATTATATAATTTTATACATAACTGAACTCGGTCGTTGGACATAGTTAAGCAACCAACAAGGTAATCAATGATTTCGCTTGGTCTGACGATAAGGTGCATAATTAATGGAGGTTTTCCCACTTTGTAAATTTTCCTCAACAAGATCATCATTAGCCTTTAACCATGCCTCGCTTTGGGTCTAATTGTATTATTTTATTCTTAATAAAGAGAGAAAAATACTGAGAATGAGAGAGAGAGAGGAGACAAAAAAAAAGAGAATAAAACTCAACAAGAGGGAGAGGGAGAGGGAAAGGGAAAGGGGCTTAAAGTGAAAGAAGGAGAGAGTGCAAGAGACCCTGCCAATATATATATAATTTATTTAGCATACTTTATATAATTTATTTAGCATACTTTTTTTCCATCAATGAATTGTTTATAGAATTCTTAATTAGGATTGAGCATTTAGTCAAATTAGAATTGATACGTTATCAAAAAAATTATCTGGTTCGAGCACGAATCTCGAAGCAAAATCAAGTTGGAAACTTCTGAAATTAAAATTGGGACCATCTAAACTCAGATTTCATAAAACTTACATTCTAACCGAGCGTCTCAAAAATAGGAACCCAACAACACTAAAATCAACTCAATCCGAGTCCAAATGGATCCAAATCAAGGACCCAAAGCACCGTTAGAAGGTTTGAACCACAATTTGGATTACCAAACAGTTTCCAAACATTACGTGCTTATAGTCAAGTCGAGAGGCTTGACGAGACAAATCCAACGAGCTCAAAATCGTTGAACTCCAACATCACTAAGTCCTTCAAATGTCTGAAGAACGGTCCACAATCAAGGTATTCAATATCGACCGTCCATCCAACAACTCCCCATTTACTCTTGATCTCTCACCTATTTACGGACCATGTCACTCCATAAATCTATAAATAGATCCCTCCTTTCTCTTGAAAGAGGGGCTCCAAGAAATAGAGCAAGAGAGAGATCAAAGATTGCTCTTGCCTCCCCGCTCCTCCTCGACCACCATCTGAGTTCCGCCGGACCATCGTCTGACGTCGTTTCTCAGCTGAACCACCACTTGAGGCCCTATGCTCCACCAGGCCATCACTTAAGGCCCAGACTTCTCCCGGACCACCACTTGAGGCCCAGACGTCTACCGGACCACCACCTGATACTTGAACTTCCGCCGGACCACCACTTGAGGCCCTGTGCTCCACCAAGCCACCACCTGAGGCCCGGACTTCTATCAGACCACCACTTGAGGCCCAGACTTCTCATGGACCACCACCTGACTCCCAGACTTCTCCTAGACCACCACCTGAGGCTCAAACTTCTGTCGGACCACAACTTGAGGCCCGGACTTCTCCCGGGCCACTACCTGAGGCTCGGACTTCATCCTGACCACCATGTGATGCCCGGACTTCTCCCGGACCACTACCTGACGCTCGGACTTCTATCGGACCACCACTTGAGGTCCGAACTTCTCCCATACCACCATCTGGCGCCTGGACTTTTGCCGGATCACCACCTAACGTCTAGAGTTCTGCCCGAGATACCACCCTTCTACTACTGTCTTTCGAACCCATGTTTCCTGCTGATTATGCTCCTTCTAATCTCCATCACCATACAACGGTCTTTCTGACCCCTATCTCCTGCCGACTACGGTCCTTCCTACCTCTGTCGCCTACTACGATCTTTCTCACCTCTATCCTATCGACTATGATCATGTCGACCAAACAAACTTGTCTATGATGATTATTGTAACTACCACCATGCAATGTGTTTTATATGAGATACATTTGTGACATCAAGTCAAGGCCTTCTCCCAAGGAAGGACCTCATTTGTAATCAACTGCAAATACTAGTGGATTCATTCAAATTGGGCCAGACCCCATGGATTTTCCCCCTTTTTAAAGGTTTCCACGTAAAAACTCTGGTGTCCCTTATAAATGCTACACACTCTATCTAATCTTCTTGTATGTTTCGTACAATGCTAAGACATTAAATTTGTTGATGTGATATCAGTGAAAGTAATCTTTATTTTAGTATAAAAATTTTAAGTTAAAAAAAAATTGTACTAAGAAGTTGTTTTAGAAAATATGAAGAAAACTATTCCAAACGAAGCCTAAATCTTTAAGAATTGGATTATCCAAGCAAAACACTGCCATTTTATTTTTGAGTTTTTCATTAAATATAAACTTACACACATATCACATATACTTTTTGATTGATAGTCTTAACTTTCAGCCGACAGATCAAAATGATTTACAAACAACACCATTAATGTGTGAAGTACGCCCTCAAATCAAATTGTGGAAATAGATTGAATCCTTATGTTGATTGAATCCTAATTTCAAAAATAATATCATGAAGATATTTTTCCTTTATATCATAACATATTGAATCATTTTTTAAGAGCTTATTTATTTTGATAATCATGAATGAATTTGAAAATATAATTTATTATAATATCTTACTCGTAACTTATATTAGAGTTTTTACGTGGAAACCCCTGAAATAGGGGGAAAAACCACGGGGCCTGGCCCAGTTTGAATGAATCCACTAGTATTTGCAGTTGATTACAAATGAGGCCCTTCCTTGGGAGAAGACCTTGGCTTGATGATACAAATATACATCATCTAGAGCGCATTACGTGGTAGGAGTTACAATAATCAACGTAGACATGTTTATTTGGTTGGAAGGGCCTTTGTCGGCAAGAGACAGAAATCAGAAGGACCGTAGTCAGCAGGAGACCGGGGTCAGAAAGACTGTTGTCTGTTGATGGAGGTTGGAAAGACCATAGTAGGCGACGGATGTCAGGGGGACTGTAGTCGGCAGGAGATAGGGGTCTGAAAGACCGTAGTAGGAGGGCGATGTTTCAGGATAACTCTCGGCATCAAGTGGTGACCCGGAAGAAGTATGGGCGTCAGGTGGTGGTCCGGTGGAAGTTCGGGTCTCACGTGGTGGCCTGGTGGAGCACAGGGCATAAGTGGTGGTCCGGCGGAGCAACGGCGTCAGGGGGTGGTCCGGTGGAGGTGAAGGCCTGAAGTGGTGGTCCGGCAGAACAACGGCGTCAGGCGGTGGTCCGACGGAGGTAAGGGCCTTAAGTTTCCAATTTTATTTTGCGTCGAGATTTGCGCCCTGATTAAGATAATTTTTTGACGACGTATCAACTTTCTAGTTTATAGGATTAGGGAGTTTGCTACTTCCCCTTGGTTTATCGGTTTTTCTTCCACCTTTCTTTCTTATGTAAACAAAATAATTATTAATTGAAACTAAGGAAATATTACTCATTTCCAAGTCTCTCTAGTTTGAAATTAAGCTCACTCGAGCCAGCTCGACGAGCCCGTGAGCTGGACAGGATATAAATCGAACACGAGCTCGTTAATACACTAAGCTCGAAATTAAGCTCAAACTCGAGCTCGATGCTCGATAAGCTCGACTCGTGAGCTCGTTAACAAGTCGAGCTCGAGTCAGCTTGCGAGTCGGCTTGACTCATTTGTACCTCTATCCTAAGCCCATAATGACCGTGATTAATATCTAAAATGCAACGTAGTAAAAAATGTCCTAAATAAAGACTCAGCTTAAATGACCTAACTCTTATTTACCATGTTTACAATTTTCAATTCAAATTGGGCCTGATTCGTCCCAACAGGAATGATATCTGCTCTAACTGAAATAACTTCGGTTATTAGTTTCATTTCATTAATCCTAAAATCTGAATATATACACTATAGCTCTGGACTTCAAACATTGATGCATGGACTTCCACTCTGTCAGACCACACGTCAAGCCGGACTTGACTGTTGCCAGAGCCGAGCCAAAACGGCTGGTTGTCGCGGAGGATTAGGAAAAATTCATGTTTCCGGCCATCGACAAGGAGGCCGACGAAGGGTGTTAGGTCAAGGTCGTATGAAGGGAGGTCATAGGCAGTGGTGCCAATGACTAGTGCTCAGAACTCAAAAGAACGGATTGACGGAGCTAAATTTGAAGCTAAACAAGTAGATAATATGAAAAATTCCTAGCTGCTAGTGTAAATTTGAAACTAAACTTTGGTGGCTTTATTGGATACACTAAACTTTTCCCTTCCACGATGAGTTCAAGATTTAGGGAAAAAAGAAAAATTTTGTATTTCAAAGATCAAAATCAGAGCATCAGAATCTTAGGTACCTGCCAAGCCAAGCGTTCAGACTTTCGTGCTTCCCGTGAGCTGCAAGAAGCATCCCGCGACGAGCAGAAGAACGAAGGTCGTCCAACTCAAACCTCGTTCATTCGCACGTTCGGCGTTCCAACTACTGTGCTTCTGTGCGTTATGAGAAGCCTTCCGCGAAAAGCCAAAACCGAAGGTTGTCCGCCTACTCGTTCACGTGTGAAAAGCAAAGTGACGGGATTTCTATTTGGAAAGGAAAACAAATTTAATATGATTTAATCTATAATTAATGACTCATAAATATACTTAATTAAATATTAGTATCAAATTCAATGGGGCCGTGCCCCCAGGGCCCCATTCTGCATCCGCCCTGCTGCGGGCCGTTTGATGAGTGGATAAGTAGAAGTTGCTCTAATACAGACGAAAATTAGGACACGTGTGCCAAATTGCTGACACAGCCAGCCAAGTTCTCGCAACGTGTCGCAAAGTCGGACACGTGCCAAAGAAACCTCCGTCGACCGTTTTCCTACTCCCACTTCTCCGTCCCTATCCTGCTCAGCTGCTCCTCTATTTATATATCTCTCCGATTTTCTTTTTTGATCATCAACATAAATAGTTGTCAAATTGTCTGTTAATAGTTGATTTTAGTAGAGAAGATCAGAAGAAGATTCGTATTGTGAAGACCATGTCATCGACACAGACTTGGGAGGAGCGGAAGGGCAACGACGAATTCACCAAAGCTCGAGACGCCAGCGAGCAGGAGAGAGGAGGCGGCAGCAATATCCTGGGCACCGTCGTCGGTGCCGTACAGGGAACGCTGGAGAAGGCCAAGGAGGTGGCTTTCGGTGGCTCCGGCGAGAGGGAGGAGGAAGGGAAAGAAAGAGTCGGTGAGTACAAGGACGCTGCTGGGCAAAGATTGGAGGAGGGGAAGGGAAAGGTGAGGGAGTACGGGGAAGCCACTAAAGAGAAGACGGGAGAGAAGGCGGAGGAGGCGAAGGAGAAATTGAGGGAGTACACCAACAGCACGAAAGCGAAGGCGGCAGAGTACAAGGATTCGGCGGCGCAGAAAACAGAGGAGGTCAAGGACAACATCAAACAGAAAGCTGGCGAGTATAAGGACTCTGCGACACAGAAGGCAGAGGAAAGTAAGGAGAAGCTTAAAGAGTACAAAGACTCTGCAGCGGAGAAGGCAGAGGAGAATAAGGAAAAGCTGAAAGAGCATGCAGGGGTCGAAGACCTGCAAGGTCGGGGTGGAGATGACAGAGAGCAGGAGGGACGAGCTGGCGGTGTCCTGGGTGCCATCGTCGGAGCCGTACAGGGGACTCTAGAGAAGGCCAAGGAGGTTGCTTTTGGTGGCTCTGGCGAGAGGGACGAGGAAGCGAAAGAGAAAGCTGGAGGGTACAATGACGCTACTGGGCAGATCATAGACGGAGCAAAGGCCAACATGAGGGCGTACGATGATAACAGGAAAGAGAAGGCGGATGAGGCGAAGGAGAAATTGAGAGACTACTCCGACAGCACAAAAGCGAAGACCAACGAATACAAAGACTCTGCTGCGCAAAAAACAGAGGAGGTCAAGGACAACATCAAAGAGAAGGCCGGCGAGTACAAGGACAGTGCAGCAGAGAAAACAGAGGAAAGCAAGGAGAAACTTAAGGACTACAAAAACTCTGCAGCGGAGAAAGCAGAGGAGGCTAAGAAGAACCTGCAAGACTACAAAGACTCTATCGCGAAAAATGCCCGAGAAACCAAGGACTCTAATGCGCAGAAGCTAGTGGATTACGGGGAATCCACAAAGGAGAAGGCGGAAGAAACCAAGGATTCTACCGCGCAGAAGCTTGGAGAGTACAAGGACAGTGCCGTGGAGAAGGCAATAGAGGCAAAAGACAAGACAGGTGAAAAGGCCGAGCAGACAAAGGATGAAACTTTGGAGAAGACAAAGGAAAGCAAGGACACCGTGATGGGCAAAACGGTCGATAATGCACGCCGCGCTATGGAGTTATTGACGGGCGGAAGGAAGGAGAATAAGCAAAGTGACGATGAACATCTTGAAACCACCAAGGTGATGAACTCTAAGATGTAACTAGTCTTTCTTTAATGTTTTTTGGGTATAAAGAACGCATCTGATTGAAATTTCGTTACGGGATTGCAGGAGTTTGGTGAGACCAAAAAGCCGGCGCAGGAAGAATTAGAAGATGCGGAGAAAAGTTTGAGGGAAAAAGAAGCGGTGGTGGATTTTGGAGGGAATTGAGGGTTAGGTTGAGGCTGCATTGGACATTCCAGCTGTTAAGGAAGAAGGCAGAGCAGAGCTCAGCCAGACGTTTAACGGCGTTGGACAATGGAGAGGGGAGGGGGTAGTTGCAGGTGGTTTAATCTTAGTGTGTAATTGGGCAAATTATTACGTCCGGTGTTCGGATTCATTCGGACATCAATCCAAACGCGTCACGTTATCAAAATACATCGCTATTAGGTGTATTCGGATAACGTGGCAAGCCTGAATTGGGTGTCCGGACATCCGACGCTTCGCCATTGTAATTGTGCTTGCTTTTGATTTATTCTAGAAGCTATTGGAGTTGGGATTTCGTTAGTGGTCGTCGTCAGCAGGTTGGCAAATTATTGTGTTCGGTGTCCGGATTCGTCTGTACACTAATCCGGAGTCGCCACGTGAAGTGACGTGGCATCACCGGATTGGATGTTCGGACGTCCGGCGACGGGACGCAATAATTCGCTATAGCAGGTTGGAGGCATTAAGCGGATTTTGAGTCTCGTAATATGTATACAGAATATGGTCAAATACGTGAAGTGGCTCTCTTTTTCTTTTAAATAAATTGTGTTTGTTATCTGTAATAATTCTTAATTTGGGATAAATAGCCGCATTGTATTCCAGTTTTTTTAAAAAAACTTATAAATAAATTTAATAAGAGTTCAATGGTTATGTTTAGCTCTAAAAACATATCTTTAACTGATATTATGTATAAAAAAATTAATAAATTTAATAATCCATGTTTTCTACTTTACAAAATTTTATAAAAAATCATAAATAAATTCATAGCATCATGCTAGAAGATTACGAATGTATTTTATTTATATTATTTCAGTTTCATATCATTTTTATTATAAATAAATAAATTTAAGCAGAAATAAACTGTTACTTTTTAAGTCATCAAAGTTGTGAAATATCCTCATTATATTATAAATTCAATTCCATATTTCAAATGAGTAAAAATAATTTCATCATTTTTTAAATATTAGTTTATATTAAGCAAACAAAGGATAGTATATACTCCACCGCTAACATAATTAACAGCAAAAATTTAGATGCCTAGCATCATGCTAGAAGATTACCAATGTATTTTTTATTTATAAATAATGTGAGACATAAATTAGGTAGATGGTAATTTTTCAAGGGTGAAATCAAGAAGAGCTTATGGTGGGCAATTTCTTAATCTTTTTTTTTTCTTTTTAAAAATAAACATTTTAATTATTTTATCAATCTTCAATAAAATCCATTATCTAAGTTAAAAAAAATATATTTTTTTTTATTTTATGCATAAAATTATGTATTTTATAATCTTATTGTGTCCATTCCAAAACAACACATTATTTTACGAGAGATTATTCTTTGCGGTGTTTGAACGCGTCTGAAGGTCAATCCAGACATATCACATCATCTAATGCACTGTGCATTGAATGATGTGACGTGTCCGAACACCGCAACTCATTTCAGACAAAGTCAATATATATTTAACAAAAGATAACAGTTTTCTAGTAAACATGTACATAACGGAGACAGTTTTCAATTTTTATCGCTTTTAAATAAGCGGAAAAAGTACATAAAAGATTGTAAAAATCTTTATTTTTTTGGAAAATTTTAGAGATTGTAAAAATCCAAAAGAGCATATATAATACGTAAAGAGTGGCAATTTAAACCTAATGATCGGATCACAGAAGCAGTCTTCTGGCATTACTGGATAAGCTCATTTGATATGGAATCTCGTGGACTCGTGCGCATAGCTCAGTGGTAGACGTGAAATTCTTCCTCCCGCGAGTCCGTGATCAAGGCGCCTCAACGTCCCAAAAAAAAAATGGAATCAATCTCCTTGTCCTAATGTAGTTGTGAAAAGACTGTGGACATAAATGATGATACTCTAGTACTCAACCCTGCAATCATTCCAAATACAAGTTAGAAATAGGCAAATAGCAACAATATCTCATTTCCTCTATTTTATCATATAGGTGGAGTAGTAACTCATGCGGTTGCCCATAGTAGAAATAGTTTTAATGTTGACTCATGTAACTGACGGGTTCGGTCCTCTTCAATGCATGACTCATTTGGTTGCCCATAGTAGAAATAGTTTTAAAAATATAATGATACATTTTTAAATTCTATTAAAGAAATTAATTATTTTAATTTATTCATTTTATGAGTGAAAATAAGACAATCATGTTTGAGAGGCTTTTAAAAGAGTGTTTAGTATAACATTATACTTAACTACTAATTAAGTCCAATCAAATAAATGAATATAATAAATTTACCACTTTTATGTACCATAAGAAATATTCCTATACACAATCTCAAAGATATAGATTAGTAGTAAAGAAAACAAGCATAACTACTTGTTAGGACCTAATCATCAAGCTACTCAACATGTCAATTCAACAAGTCTATTCATCAGGCTACTTGCAAGGCATACTTATCAAGCCACTCAACAAACCACCTCAACAGGTCTACTCATCACATACTTGATAGACTTACTCATCAGGCCTACTTGGCAAGCTGATGAGTGCTGAAGTCCTGTAACTAAACAGAGAAAACTAAGAAGTAGAAGATTAAACAAGATCAGGGATCACATCCTTGTTATAGGAAATACTAATATATCATACTCAAATAGTAAACAAATATTTGTAACAAGTGTGTATGTGATAGTAGTTACAATCAAATGGCTAAGAAAGGAGATCAGACATCCAATAGCTGCTAGAATGCATTCTGAGAAGTAGTAACTGTCTGTTGCAGACTAGTGGAAATGTGAGCCGTTTTGAGCAATAAGCATATCAGCTTTTTAGTTGATCTTATCACAAGCCACTCAGCAAGCCTACTCGACAGGTTTAGTCATTACACCTAGTCATTAGGCCTACTTATCATGCCACTCACCAGACTTGACTAAACAAATTCACTCGACAAACCTACGCATCTTTTTCACTCAACAAAGTAAATTCACTACAAATTTATTCCTAGAGCCCTCGGCCAGTGCTTAAAAAGTAAATTTACATTATTTCTTGACAATTTTGAGTGGATTAATTAGCATTTTAAGACCTTCGATGCCAAGCGGTCCGCCGATCTCTAAGCAAGAAACAAAGAATAAATATTATTTTATATGCATGCAACAAATAAGTTTGATCACCATTGATAATTTTCTTGGTTTATTTAGTTAGAAGGAATAGAAGAGCACATAAATGTAAGCTTATCATGAATTAAAAGTGATCTTTCAAGATGTAGATAATTTTCTCTCAAATTTTGCATCGTTCTTGTTGTAGACTACAAGAACCTTATCGAATTTCTGGATCTTTTTTTTTTTTGGACATTTAGGCCATTTAAGGCAAACTCACACACACAACGCATACACAAAGACTCGAACCCAAGACATCTTAGTTGGAAGCCTAAACTCTCAACCAACAAGGCAATGTGAGCTGTGTAATTTCTGGATCTTATATGGATAGCAGCAAACTACCATTTTTGGAACTATATTGCAGAAAAACAGCTAGTAGGAAGCATGTTTTCCTTTGGCAGGACACTGCCAACAGTAAGAAGGGTAGCAGACCAAACGGGAAAACCTCTGCTGGCTGTAGGTGGCTAGCAGCTGAGCAGGTACCTGTACAAGGCAAGCAGCTGGCAGCATTTTTGGGTTGCTGGAAGGTATGAATGCCAAAAAAGATAGAAAAGGTAGAGAATATTTTGAATTATTTCTATTGCAGGAATCAAGCCAATTCATAGGTAATTAGCAAAAAAAAATAGTTCAAATTATTTGTATCTTTCTTAATCTAACTCCACTATTCAAGATGAATTAACTCTTCCTAAACTAACTCTACGAAAAAGACAAGAAGGTCTATCTTGATTTTTTATAAACATAACCAAAATAAATTTAAATTTTAAAATATATTTTAATCTTGTCCTCATCCAATGGCCCGAATTTCCTAACTCTCAATAATTTGATCAATGACCATACTTCAATTTGGACTCTTGTTGATATGATATTTAATCTTAATGATGTGATCTAAGATCATCACAATTAATAATATTCATCAAAAGACCAAATTGTTAAAAAATAATCTAAGATGACAAAAAGTTCATAAAAATACCTTCCCATGAAAAGATGGCCATGAGAAAGGACATACTCAATATAATCTTTTGATTTGCATGTGATAGTTAATAGTAATAAAACCAGAGAGAAAATTATGTTGAATTCAGAATTTCAGCAATATTCAAAGCAGGTTTTGAGAATGAAATACGCTTTTGATTGAATGATAGATGAAAGGAATAACACGATACAATGGATCTTCAATTTGAGAGGAAGATCCGACTCTCTCCCAATCCCTAGTCGATGACTAGAGCCTAAACAACAACAAGAGATCCCAAATTTCAGACCAAATTCAAGATGCCCCCTAACCCTAGTAAGAAAAACTACTTAAAGAAGAATACAATAAATAAATACCTAAATAACCCTTAATTTTGATTTTTTCCTCCAAAGTCTTCACTAATTATAGTCATTACTCTCTATTAAACCACTTGGGCCCCACTAAGCCATCCGCCCCCTTACTGGCAAGGATTTCTATTCCGCCTAGAATAGAACTGAATTGTCCCAAATTGGATCAGTTCAAACGATTCCTAGACTGACCTAATAATATCACTCTCCGAAAGACTCACATAGTCCTCAAGGTGAAATGATGGGAATTGGTGTTTCGCCCTCTTTTATGGCTCCCAGGTGGCATTACAGTCAGATAGGTTCTTCCATTCAACCAGCATTTCCTTGATCCACCCCTTCTTTAGCCTTACCCCTTTAAGCTCCAAGGGTTCCAACACCACCTCAAAATCCTCAGTTAGTGTCGTCAGTAACGCCATACTAGCTGTATGTTCCCACAAGGCCTTCCTCAACTGCGCTTTCCTCAACTGTGATACATGAACACTAGATGTATGCTAGCAATTGAGGGTAACCTCAGGCGATAAGCCACTGCTTCAATCCATTCTACAATCTCATATGACCCAAGATACATTTGGGCTAGTTTCTCATTCCTCATGTTGGTCATTCTCATTTGTTTGTATAGTCGAAGCTTTAATAACACAATCTCATACGGGTTATCGGGTTGACCCAACCTAACCTGTGAATAAGAAACGAATGCAGTCGCATGCATGCAAGCGGATCTAGGTAGAGCACGGCAAGGCCCAGGGGTGAGTGCAGGCCGCACGACATGGCCAGAGGTTGGGCCTAGAGTCGTTGCAGGTGCGAGCCGTGCGGTAAAGCTAGATGGCATCGACAGTGCGGAACCACTCTACGTGTGTCACATGTGCGAGCTACGTCGAACATCAGAGTTCGGACGACCTTGACCACCTGGTAGACATGCGAAAGGACGATATTTTCTACAGTGCAGATCGGCCTGGCCGATCTCACTGTCGTCCCGGACGATTCAGTCCAGAAATCACTCCAGAGAACATTTCAGAAATCAACTGTTTTCAATACACTGATCGGCCTGGACGATCTCACCATCGTCCCGGTCGATCCTGGGGAAAAATCACTTTCCCAGCAGCTACAGCAAAGGAACGAGGTCTCACAATGTCTATGCACATATGCAATAGTGCGAACATAATAGCTGCATTGCGAGCGGGATAATTGCAGTACAGCGGTAGGTCAAGTTATCGGGTGAGGTTTTCTAAACAAGTTAACCCGAGTCACTTTCGGGTTTCTGGGTCAATTCGAACCTGATCCGATTTTTTAAATGAGTCGACTTGCCAAACTAGAACTCGACCCATATGTCAAATGTGTTAACCCAAATAAAGAATTTTTTAGGTAGGGACTGGGTCAGATTTCAAGTAACATCAAATATTGACACCCCTAATATGTTGAGCTCTCAACAGGTGTCTCTTCAATTCCTCTAGCACCTTATCCGTTTCCTCCATATTCTACTCTACTAAAGATACATGTGTGCTCCTCTGCCAAAAATGCACCAAGTGTGGGGGCCTCCGTTATATAACACTTTGAATGGGGTCATCTGAGAAACTGAGTGATATGACCTGTTGTACCAATACTCTACCCACACTAGCCTCTTGGCCCATATCCGAGGTGTTTTTGAAGCAAAACACTGCTAGTAAGTCTCCAAGCTTCTATTGACTACCTCTATCTACCAATTGTTTGTGGGTGATAAGTGGTGCTTCTTTTAAGCACTAAAATAAGAGCAAGTTATAGGATAGATTAGGTACATAAAGAATTTTGGAGAGTGGGAGCTTACTAGTTGAAGTGGAAGTATATCATATCCAATATGTTGAATGGGTACAAGATAGTTGTCAATGAACACCACTTATTGTGGACCAATGTTGTTGCATGATGCAATTGAGTGGCATTAGAAGTGAGGTGGGACATTGCTTAGGTGTCTAGTATCCATTCAGTTGAATGTGGTGGGGAGGAAGAGGCAGTTGTTTATTCAACAATGAGTGTTTGTTCTACTTATAGAGTGTCATTATAGAGTAAGTCTTGACGACGCCATCACTTTGTTGTGATATGGCTTGGTTTCCCTTGGACTTAGCAATGAACTAGAGAGGAAAAAGGATTTGTAGCAAATTTAAGAAAGATTGGTGGATTACAATATGCATTTAATGGTTATCAAAATTTTTGCAAAATTTTGAAGTGTAACTAACTAAGAAAGTAGAGACGGCGATACGGCATAGTATAAGGTAGCTATTAGATTTTGGTAAATATTCTTCTAACTGTTGTATGTGAGACTATGAATGATCATTTTGTCTTCAAGATATGCACTAAAGATATTGACATGAGACTATGGAAGCAACATATTGGATGATTTTTTCGGATGAGTTGGAAGTTGATGATGTGCATAATATTGGATGTTAAAAATCTGAGTAGAGCATAAATGGGAGTATCTCGTAGCTCAAATGAAACGATAAAAGCATTTTACTAGCTTATACTCGAGACTAGGTTGAGGGGAACCATTTCAGAGGGAGTAGGCGTCATTTTGCATAGAGAAGTGGACGAGAGAGTGGCTATTAGTCAATGTCGTCTTTGATACCATACATAATAGCATTAAATAGCATAAAAGCATGTATGAAGTATTAAGCTTAGGGAGGTATTCTTATCATTATTGTCCTAGTTATAGTGAATTAATATTTATATACAAATATGATTCTTAGTTAGTTACATAACTTATCAGGGATGCCTAAGATTAGCGTAAATATTATAATTTGATGAATAAGATTGCTCCAATGCTAGAATAGAGAGTATTCTTATCATTATTGTCCTAGTTATAGTGAATTAATATTTATATACTAATATGATTCTTAGTTAGTTACATAACTTATCAGGGATGCCTAAGATTAGCGTAAATATTATAATTTGATGAATAAGATTGCTCCAATGCTAGAATATAAAGTATTTTCTTTGCAATCACATTTGATGGAGAGTGAATAACATGTTTAGTAGATTGATTATAATAATGATGATAATAATGTAGTTATTAAATTTATTTTAAAAATAATTAAAATATAATATCCTCAAAATAAATTTTATTATAATATCTTGAATCAAAATTTTTAAAAAATAATAATTTTTATATTATATAACAGTCTACAACTATAGATCATGCTTAGGTTAAGATTTCGGTTAAACTTTTAACCGAGACTAAAAATCAGATCGACCGTATCGGTTTGGAAAGATTTCCTTAGGGTTTTGTTGAAAACACCAACGTCGCTTGCGATTTTCGCTGCGGAGTGAAAACTGAAAACACTTCTGATGATGATAATGTTAAATTTCGTGGTCAAAAATCTATAACAAATGCTCCACCTCCTCCGGCGAATCGGTGGAAGCCCATGGATTGCCGGAGAGCGATTTTCGCTGTGCCATCTCCGTCTCCTCCACGACTTCGCCGACAGAGCCCTACCTCCATCATCCTCGAGTTCAGAACTCACCGTCTCCTACCTCGTGAATTCATGTGGGCTCTCCCAGTCTGTTGCTCTCTCCCTCGCTAAGAGAATCAACCTCAAGACCACGGAGAATGCCGACTCAATCCTTGCCCTTCTCAGAGCACACGGCTTTGCGACTAGCCATATTGCTTCTATCGTCACCAAGTCTCCTCGCATTCTCTTCTCTGATGCGGAGAGCAATATCAAGTCCAAGCTGGAGTTCTTTCTCGATGTTGGAGTGTCCAACGACAGCCTTGCAAAGCTTATCTCAGCCATACCTTCCATCCTAAGGTGTAGCCTGGAAAAGAGGCTTATGCCCAACTTTGATATGCTCAAGACGATCTGCGGCAGCGACAAGCAATTGCTAGCCAACATCTGCAAATTCGCCTGGCTCTTAGGTCGCAACTTCGAGAAGGAGATCTTTCCGAACTTGAAGACTCTGCGAGACCATGGAGTTCCCCCTTCCAGTATAGTAAAGTTATCTATCATGGCCCCGCAAGTTTTGCTGCGAAACCCTGCCCGTTTCAGCAAATCAGTAGTTAATCTGAAAGAAATGGGCTTTGATCTGTCCGCAGTGTATTTCGTTTCAGGTCTTAAGGCAGTTTGGATGCAGAGTAACTCAAGTTGGGAAAGGAAATTGCAGCTGTACAAGAGTTTAGGCTGGTCAGCCGAGGAAACTATCTCCGCGTTCAAGAAGTTTCCTTTTTGCATGATGATTTCAGATAAGAAAATCAAGAGGGGCATTAATTTTTTTGTTGAGAGTGTGAATTGTAAGCCGTCCTTTTTGGCAAAACAGCCGATTCTCCTGTGTTTCAGTCTCGAAAAGAGAATTGTGCCTCGGCTCAACGTTATGAATATCTTGGCATCCAAGGGACTAGAAAAGAACTTCAGTATGACAACAATACTGTACGCAAGTGAAAGGAGGTTCCTTGAGAAATATGTCGTTAAGTACAAAGATCAAGCTCCAGAAGTTATTCTCGCTTACAAGGATAAAATTGATTCGAAAGGTCTCATGTTCAATCAGTAGCCATGGAGCCTTAAGTTGTAAGCCTTCCACCTGTTTACCAAAACCGTGCATTTTCTTGTTTTGACTGCCAATTGAACTTCGAGATTGCAAGTCATCTGACTAGATGTCTTATGTCAAATGTTTAGTGCTTATTTTTAAGATCCCTCTAGCTTTAACTGCTCTGAAATAACATGGAATTTATCTAGCCAAGGGCCTATTTGGTATCACTTATTGTTTTTTTTTTTTTACTTTTTTGTTTTTTTTTAAATAATGTGTTTTCTTAGTGTGTTATTTAACTATTTTTATTTTTAAAAGCACTCAATACAACTTTGAGAGGTATTGAGTGTTTTTAAAAGAACTATCATCATTGGTTGTTGTCACCGCCGACCACCTTCCTCCAGCACCACAATTAGCGACCACTGCCGCCATCATCACCTCATCGGCCACTACCATTGTTTCCGACAACTGCCACTTCTTTGTCGTCGGCCATGGCCACCACCTTGCAAACCTAGACTTTATAAATCACTTTATTTAGGCCTCGTGTGAATGGGCGTTTTTTTGCCTTTTCCGTTTAGAAACGGCAAAATTATTTTTTGTTCGTTGTTTGTTTGTGACGTTTCTATAGAAAAGCTTTTTAGGGAACCTCATTTTTCTGCTGTTTTGAGAAGCTTTATGATATTTGATTCTCCATTAGAAAGCTCCATTCCCTTAACCAACAACCTTTTACAAAAAGTACCAGATAACCAAACGAAGCCTTAATATTCAATAAAAATAAAATAAAATGTTCTTAAGATGCCAAATACATTTTATATTATGTCAAAATATAAACAAAATAAAATAAAATAAATAAAAATAGAAACTTAAAGTGATTCCAAATGGGCCCTAAGTTTTTTTGTTTTCGTGTAAATTTCTTAATTAGTGTTAATTTTCTTCAGGCATTTGACTTGCAATGATCTATCCATTCAGAGTCTTACCCTTCTTTTATCCAAAATACAATTTTCACAATTACTTTCGTGTTTCTGAAAATCAACATGAATTTTGTATTGGTCAAGGGAACTAATATTTAGGATTTTAAAACTTTAGCAATGTGTCGATTGCTATGCAGATAATATTAGTATGGATCAAGAGGCTAAACATGTTTTCATTTGAATTTGTTTTCTATGAAAACATGCAGGTCCTTGTTGTAATTGTAGATGCTTTTTATGTTATGCAAGTGGAAGATGACAATTGATGCCAGGGGCAGCATTCACTATTTGTGGCTATGCAGTGTAAATGTTGATCGGTAAATTAGTTGTGGAAGACTAGAAGGTATCAATATGTTCCTTTTATGTTTGCACCTGATTGTGAATGTTTTCATTTTGTTTTTTAGGGATGATCCTGATCAATTACTGACTAAGTTGAGCAGTAATAATAGCTTATTTGATCTAAGAGATCTTCAATTAAACATTCAGTAATTGAGATTTTACTTGAATGTTAAGTATAAAAAGAAGAAATGTTTTGTTAAAATATGATTACAACCTTCTTTTGTGACTAAATACAGCAGATCTCATACTGTAATGATCCGTCGGAGCTCCTCCTTGATGCTTCATCAGTTATTCCTAGGAATGTTTAATATCCTATAACTTGGATTAAATTGCTATTGTATGGAAACTTACGAGGACATTGATGTAAAGCTGAACTTTCATGATCTTTTGCATGTATGTATTTAATACGGCGAAAGTTGCAGGGGTCTGCACCAAGCGGACCCGGGAGCCATTGGAATGGCCTCTCTAGTAAAATGCGGCGTAGGTGGGGCAGACAAACAGAGAGGGGGGCTCGGCTAAGGGGGTGGGGCCCAGTAGAGAATTAAAACATTGTATTATGAGAAAATCAATTAGGAAATCCTTTCCTAATTGAATTATTTTTAAATTGAGGAGGGAAACATATTAGGAAGGAGGCTGATTTAGAAGGGAGGAAGGAATCTTATTTAAGGTCATAGTAAGGTTTATTTTATTCTTATGCAGATTTTATTTTAAGTATTGTAGTTCTCTTGTGTGAGGGATCCTAGCGGCTTCTAGGGTTTGCGAGAGAAGGTCCTCCTCTAGAAAGATGACCATTTATCTTGCTTTTGTTCGTAATTGATTTTCTTATCAATAAAAATATGTTTTGTACTGAATCGCTTGGAGTATTTGTTGTTTTGGTACCAAAACGTATTAGTGTTTCTCCCAAGTATGCAGTCATTTCAAAAGTTATGGCTATACTTTCTAGGTCGAATATGTGAGGCTTGATCATTTGACTTTCTGATGAACTCTAAGGTTTTTCTCACAAAGGGATATTAATTAAGCAGATATCAGTGTTCATCATTTGTAATCGAAGAAATGTTTTTATGCCCTAGTATTTTCTCCAGCCTTGTACTATCACGCTTATTTTAATTGGAGGTACAAAGAAGGATGATTTTCTGTAGTGTTTGAACTTTATTTCCTTGAGCTGATTATAATGTGCTTTGTCAAATTGAAATTGGGTGGGTTTGAAGTCTATTTGTCTGCCGTGTCCAACACGTGTCCCAGTCATGTCGGGCACGTGTCCGTGTCCGATACGTGTCCGGCACTACATTCTCTCTTCAAGATGTGTGTCGGTTCATCACAGATGTATTGTTTTTTGCTATGATTTCTGTTAGGGAATCATTGAGAAACTTGTTCTCAAGTGATGCTAGTAACTGCTGTTAGATTTCATAGCACCATGCAGTTAACTGTTTCTCTAATATGTTTTTTGTGAAAATTTGCCCAAATATTCCAGTAAACATGGTATTTGGATTTTGGTGCTCACTGTAGTTCTTTCAGACAAAAAAAAAAATTGTTTTGTAATAATTATGCCCCCACACACTCCAAGGCTCAGTACATTTGTCAATTATTTATATTACAGGTATAAATGAGTATGAGCTGTAGAATTCATATATGTAATTGTATTTTGGAAATTGCCGAGCTTCGATGTTTAACTGTTGTATCCAATCTAGTTTTTTTTATTATTCTTTTAAGATGTTAGACCAAAAATAAATTATTTATGGGATTTTAACTGGTGTACCATCCTGAACATATGAATTTTTATTGGCTTGCTATCTTAAGCTTTATGTTATTGCTATGTCACCCTAATTTATACTTGATTAGTATGTTACTTAATTGACTCATATTATAAGAATTTAACTTTAGATGAGTTAAGTTACCCTAGTTGGATGCCAGTGTGTGCGGTGTTCAGGCAGCATGTGCCAACAAACACCACTGACTCTGCTTTGGCATCCATGCATCTGACAATGTCTCACTTGTTGGAAAAGATTCCAAAATGCCGCAAAGTAGTGGAGAAAGTAATGGAGAGAGTTGTGTGTTGCATTGTTTTCCTAATTAAAGCAAATATAGGGTTTCCTTTAAAATGTGTAATAAGATTTTCCTTATAGGTGTTATGGAAGAGGTAATATGATAGGTACCACTTGAGTATTTCAAGTGATTCCTATCGGATCTAAGCCAAATCGCAACAAATCCGCTGTTTTCTATGAGAAAACAGCCATCAAACACAAAAATAGTGGAAAAATAGGAAAAAAAACAATAGCAAACGATTGAATTTCACTAGTCGATGCAAAAGACAAGAAAGATACAAGTTTCCTTCGATTTGAGAGGAAGGAATAACTCTCCAAATCTCTAGCCGTAGCCTAGAGCCCAAAAGAAAAAACCCTAGATCTCCCAACCAATTTCAAATCCAAGATAATCCCAGGCTGGACCGGCCTAACATAATACTAGGACCCTTTTTAAGATTTGATGATTGAGATACTTATTGATGGAAGGTTGAAAAGTAAAAAGAAAATTCTGAGTGATTTTCTTTGGAAGTGCTTGCAGAAATATAGGAAAAGCCTTGGCTAGAATCTGATTTCAGCAATTTCAAAAAATCAATGACAAGAAAATGAGGAATATAACACATAAGAGCACTTTTTTATTAAAAGATTTATGAATGAAGAGACAAGATACAAGTGGATATTTAATTGGAGAGGAAGAACTAACTCTTCCAAATCTCTACCCGCTGACTAGTGACAAAACACCCTAACAAAAATCTAATTTTAACAAAAAAACACCCGACTCTAACCCTAGAAAAAACTCCTCCCTACTTAAAGCATACAAAAATATCCCAAATTTTTTAATTCTTTCCATCCTAGCAACACCCCCCTTAATTGGATTTTAATGCCCTGAGCCCCACGGCAAAAGGCGCAATCAATCTATCAGGTAGAAGCTTGTTCCGCCTAAAACAAGCAGAAATTTCATCTCAAAACAAGCGACTTGTTCCACCTCAATAGAGTCGGTCCAAGTTAGATCAGCTGGACTGGTCTAACAATATCCCCCACCCAAATACCCACCTTGTTTGCAAGGTGGAAAGACTGGCTCGTTCCTCAATTTCCTCGTCATCACAAATAGTGAGAACCTAAAGAGATCGATCCTTACATCGATGTTTGATCTATACCGCTCCTCACATCTGAAATAATGCCTTTCATCCTCTTCTCATGTAACTCCTTTTTCATGAGTTTCTTGAAGTTTTCCCCAAGTCTCTCTCTTACAGTTTTGCCCTTCGGGGTCTCCCTAAGTGTACCTAGTGCCAGCTCCTTGAATTATCAAAAAGGTGGTGGTCATCTTATACAAACCTCTTAAGCTACTGCCTCCAGTCCCTCTCTCTAGGTGCCTCTGATCATCCACCAACTGGGCTAGCTCCATTGCCTCTCCCAAATCACGAGGCCTCATCACTCTAATTGCCACCCGAATCTATAGTTTGAGCCATTTCATGAAGTTTCGATCCAGTACCGTCTCCGGAAGCCGATCCAGTGTATTGGCCAAGTGCTCAAACTGTTCACGGTATTCCACCATTGTTCCCTCATGCGTCAGGGCAAAGAATTGCTCATAGAAGTCCCCTCCCCTGTTAGTTCGAAAACATTCCAACAAGAAATTCTTAAACTCCCTCCAGGCTCGTATGGGCTGCTTCGTATCCCTCCATTGGAACCATGCTAAAGTTTTCCCCTCCAAGCACATCTTTATCACCACAAGTCACTCCTCCTCCATTAACCTATTGGCGGTAAAGTATATTTGCACCCTGTAGATCCACCCATGTGCATGCTCTCCCTCAAAAATGGGCATCTTCAACTCCCTCAACCTCAGATCTCTTCAGTCCCCTCTGTTTCCTCCATAATTTTCCTTTACCCAAGCTGGTGGTTCCTCCCAAGTGTAATAATCATCTCTTTTACGCTCATACCCAAACTCTTTGTCAAAATCTCATCTTCTCCCTTCAAATTCAACACCCCTTCAATCATAGTCAGCCCTTCTCCTTTCAAAGTTAGGCCCTCTCCTTTCAAACTCAGCACCCTTTCGATCATAAGCAACCCCTCTTCTTTCAAATTCAGCCTTTCTCCTTTCAAATTCAGCACCCATTTAATCATAATCAATCCCTTTCTTTTCAAATTCAGCACCCCTTCGCTCATGCCTAACCCCCTCACGCCTCTCCTCATACATTCTTCCTCACTGCTCCCTAGGGGGATAGGATCTAGGGGAATGCATTCTCTCTTCTCCCTCAAAAATCTCCGTCTTCTAATCTTCTCTCGCCTTATCGGATTAGGGTTTTCCTCACATCCTTGGTTGTCGGCAGCTTCCCTCGCCTCCGACAACGCCATTTTAGTTTGGCCCTCGAACAACTTCTTCAACATCTCCTACAGGATAGAAAACTTCCCCTAGATCTTCTTATGAATAGCTGAAATTTGACTTTTGAGATCTAGAATTTTATATTTTAATTGTCTGATCTCTCTCTAACACTTCTACCTTTTTTCCCTATCATGGGTACTCGGATCTAGGCTCCAAACAACAAAAATAAAAAACAGTGGTTTTGGTCTTCAAACATAAAAAATTAGCAAGATCCGAGAGAAAAGCGCAGTAGAAATCAGCAAGGAAATTCTATATTTCAGCCCATGATATCGCTCTGATACCAATTTGTTAGGAAGTGCATACAGAAATTTAGGAAAAGCCTTTCAGAAAATTTATGACAAGAAAATCAGGAATAGAACACACAAGTACACTTTTTTATTGAAAGTCTTATGAAAAAAAAGACTAGATACAAGTGGATCTTCAATTGGAGAGAGATTCCCCTCTCCTAAATCTCTAGCCTACGGCTACAGCCCAAACACCCTAAGAAAAATTTAATTTCAGCAAACAACACCCAACCCTAATGATGTCTATCTTTATTCATTCATCTAAATTGATTTATGAATGATTTGTGTATGTAATTGAGATTTTATCAAGTTTGGTACATATTGATTTACATTTTTGTGGTGTGAACCTTAGTAGCAACATAAATTTGTATTTGTTCTAAATTTTTTTTGTAGAATTTCAGATATTGGCGATTTTTTCATTATCATTTGGAATAGATGAAGCTTGTTTTTTTTCACTTAAAGGGGATTGATGATCTTTATGGAATCTGTGAATTGTGAATTTGTGTTTTTTGTGAATCTCATTCTAGATTTGCATTTGTGAATTCCATACCCTTAAGTGTCCTTCATCAATAAGATACTAAAAAACAACATTAAGAAATAATTTTGGCACCACCAAGCTTGCCTCCGTCTCTGTCTCACTTGTCTGCAGCGCTGCCAAACTTGCACCTGTTGAACTAGTTCATCCCAGCTAGAACAATTGAACAGGATTATTCTTCTCTCCTCCTCTCCTCCCCCCTTTCTTTTTTCTCTCCGTGTTGATTATTCTCTAAAGTCCTCTATATATTATTTTTTCTCCCAAGAAGCAAAACAGCTAGTCTCACCGATGAGCAGGAGCTTGCAGCCCACGTATGACCTAGCCACTGTTAGTAAAAACTCAGTTGCCCACCATAGAAGCAAATACCGATTCCTCAACTCCTCCTCACCGCATATTTTGTTTGCTTATCTCTCACAAACTACCATTTTCCCAAGAGGCTGTAACTGGCCAACTTCAAAGTCATCTCGCTGTCTGTCAAGTGAACATCCATGGCCTTCCTTCTAGGAGTCTTTCCCATTGCGCTCAAATTGCCGTCAGTTTCCATCTCCAGCTCTAGGCTGAGCCTTGCTCACTGTAAGTTTTTATCACCAGTTCTAACCTGAGACTTGCTGTCAGTGCCCGATATAAAGGTTCTAGATAGTGATTCTTAATTTCTGAAAGCCTTGCTCATATGAGGATGGCCTTAAATCATGAAATCAGGAGAGATTATTACGTGCGGAGTCCAGACGCATCTGGAGGCCAATCTAGATACGTCACGTCACCTAATGTACTGTGTATTGGGTGACGTGGCTCATCCGAATTAGCCTCTAAACACGTCCGGACACCGCATGTAATACTTTTTTCTGAAATCAGGCATCTAAAGGAGCTTCTCTATGAACCGCATTTCAGTTCTGGGAGATGAAGCGGACGCAAAAAAAAAAATAGTTTTCTGTCTTGGTAAGTTTCATTTGAAATGAGGGGCATCTTTTCTTCTGCCTTCTCACTTGAATTAAGAAAAAAAAACCGAGCTATGGTAATCAATCAGGATGCCTTAAATAACCATAATAGTGAAGATTAATCAATGCTGAAGGTATCTTATCCCAAAACTCGTCCTTCAGTTTTTTGGAGCATATAAGTGAGCTGTTCTAACCATATGTGGGCTACGCAAAGCATCCAGATCAATGTGAAGCTCAGTTGATTCGTTTTATAATTTATATATAGTGTTGATACATGGCATAGTCAGGTTTTTCATGCGTTCAGATAAACTTCTTATGAGGATGCTTAGGTGGATGAGTGGTTTTATCCTTAGAGATAAGATACGAACTGAGCATATATGTGAAAAGGTTGGAGTAGCTCCAGTGGAAAGCTATGATTAGAGAGAGTTGCCTTAGATGGTTTAACCACATTAAACGGATGCCTTCCGATAACTCTGTTAGGAAAGTTGAGGTATTAAATTTGACTTATTTTAAGAAAGATAGAGGTAGACCTAAAAAGTCTTGCTTAGAAAACATTAGAAATGATCTTTCTTTATTAGATTTAAATGAGAATTTAACTTTTAACATGACACAATGACGAAAAAAGATTCATATAGCAGATCTCACATAGTAGGACAAAAGCTTGATATTGTTGTTGTTGTAGATAAACTTCTTATGTGTGCTTACATGAGGTTTTATGAATAAAAACGTGTAGAATGTGCCATGTGCCATGTGCCTGTCATCTAACTTGATTACTTTATGTGATCTCTGCAGCTATTGCATCTGTCTGTGCTTCCAGTTCAAGGAATCTGCTGTGGAATATTTTGCATAATTTGGTTCATTTAAGAACAAGTGTTTCTGGCTATCAGCCCAGTGCCTAAATAAAAGACAAGTAAAGATAGCTTCGATCTTGCTGGGCTCTTTCGTTCCTTCTTTTTCTTTTTTCCCCTGGTTTTGGGCTCTTTAGTTCTTATGATACATTGTATTAGTTTGCTGCGTTTCTGGAGCTTTTTGTAGGTGCTGAGTGGCTGAGCACAGGTCAAAGGCTTTAGGCCTTTTTTGTGAAGCTGCCAATGCCAGCACCAATTGGCTACTACGCCTCTTCTATAACACAACTGCACTGAAGAACCGCATCAAGTGGCCTCCTCGCTACTATTATGAACAATTTCTTCCCGGCAATTGTAAGTCAGCCTCAGGAATATTTATATTTGTTACTTTTTAATTAATTTAACTTGTTGAGTAGCATCAATTAATTGAATCATATAAGATATTTTGTGGATGATTCAAACTGAATTTATATTTTTATCACTTATCAGAATGCAATGCTTTATGGTGCCGAATATTGGCCATTAAAAGAAAAGCATAATACTAAGTTAAGTGTGAGGATGCTTAGGTGGATGAGTGGCTTGACCCTTAGAGATAGGATACGAAATGAGCATATACGTGAAAAGGTTGGAGTAGCTCCAGTGAAAGATAAGATTAGAGAGAGCCACCTTAGATGGTTTGGTTACATTAAACGGAGGCCTTCCGATGACCCTATTGGGAAAGTTGAGGTATTAAATTTGACTTAT